AATGAATTTGCGGATGGAGGCAATGTAACTTCTTGATAATCACGGTTACCGAACATTATATTAATAAGAATATTACAATTTTAACAAATGTTTGTCTTAATATTTTGATTTTTTACCATTATTTTTATTTTTGACCCACGAAACAACAATAACTAGATTTAATTAACTATATAAGTAACCTCTCTCAAAGTTCATGATTGAAGCATTTTTTACTTTTTTTCACTTGAAAATTGTCTTCAGACTCAAAACATCATTGTAAAATCAATTGGTACCTATACCACATTACCGCTCCGCTCAGAATCTAAATTTTTTAATTTATATTTTTCATGTAACTTTTAAAAGTTGAATATAATAATTCCTATAATAATTTTACACACTTATCAAAAAAACATTTTGTACACACCTATGATTAGTTTATYACACATAACCATCGATTGACAATTTCGATAMACCGTATTACCTTACTAAAAAAATGTATATTATGGTTTGGTAAATACTATATTGGTCCCAATTCCCAACCATAGCTCATCACTCATCGGGTTCTATTATTTTTAATATGTATACGTATTACGTAATGTTTACCTGTAGTTATTAGTTAGGTATACGGATACTCTAATGTATAAGAAATACTCTTTATTTTTATCGTTTATGAAAAATTCTAAATTATGTGTATAGGTATATTTAAAATAAATAAATTAACTAACTTTAAAAAATGTATAAGAAATGTTCGATTTTACTATGGATTAAAAATGTATACGATTTTACAACTTTCAATGCGTGAACAAGTTTCTATGGTGAAGTTTAGTCACTGTAGTGTTTTCTCTTAGTAATTTAGTGATTTTTAAAATAAATATGAAGATACACTTTGTTTTTAATTAATTGTTAATAATTTATAAAATTATAACTATTCATTATCCAAAAATTTGCTTTATTGTACGTATATTATATTAAAGGTTATATTATATAATGTTAAAATTATAATTATACATACCAATAGTGTATACATTTGTATGTGTTTTTTAGGTGGGTTGTGGGCAGTGGCGGCTTGAACTTTTTTTCCCTCGAATCACGTTTAATATTTTCACACCACCCACCCTAAAATATAGTTATTAGTTATTACTTATTATTGTACATTATCTGCTGAGTACACA